GGGATGGTGAGGAGTGAACAATGTAAACTCCTCACCATAATGTGTAATATAAATCAGAATATAAATAATAATAACATAATAATATAATAATGTATAATATAAATCAGAACCTCATGTGCAAAAGGTAAAATATTACTGGGTAATAAATTATGATAACCACTGTATTGTCTTAGTTTATTGTCGTATCAGTGTATTATGGTCATTTTCTTCATAACAAGCATAAAAAAATGATAATATGCTAACATTTTTGTAGCTAGTTAGCCAACTTTCCCGTTCCACCTTAAATAGTGCAGCAGTTCTGACGCCTGAAGCACCAGAATGTAACTGCTGCACCATTTAAGGTGGAACGGGAAATTTGAACAAGAATCTGGTGAATATCTGACTTCAGCTTCATATCACTGAAGAATTAGGGGTGGGTGATAATAAATAATTGCCCCCCTCTTTGAAGATCATATGTTGCCCTAAATGTAACTAAAGCCCAGCAGTGAGGAGCTGAACTTTACCCTCCTCTGCTGTCACTGCAGACTGGCAGGGTCGCCTACAGAGCAGCGCTGGTAGCTGTTAATGAAGTGATGCTCTTTTTATTTGAGGGTCCCATTTCAGAGGGAAGACTTAAACCACTACCCTGTAACTCAGTTCTAAGGGGCAACACTCGAAAACAAGGGGTAGGGGTAAAAAGAAGAAATGGAACTGGGCCAAAAGCTCAACTAAATCTCTTGTAGACAATAAAAACAAAACTAAATCTATTAAAGTGCCCTTAAGTGTCACAGTAAAGTGCTGAAACTCCAACACTGTAGGTTGAGGATGGTGGAACGTTGTGGTGTGTGGTAGATACTGTTTATTGATTGTTTAGATCAGATTGCTAGCAGATGTTCTTCCATTGATTGTAACCCGCTGATCAATATCTGACCACATCATCCATCTCTGCTCACTTTCATTAGAGGGTCAGTGACTCACAAAGGCTGACCATTTACAGTAGCTTAATCATCAAACAACTGTGTTGGTTTTAGGACTTAATGCCATTTAAAGGCTTAAGACTGAAGCTTTGTGCTACTAGAACAGACTGACCGGTGTCCAGACCCTGACGGAAGCCAGATTGGTACATTTTTCAGTAGATCTTGCTCCACAGCTAATGACCAACATCCTGCATTCAACTCCATCAGTGCTCCACCAGACCTCTGACAGACTCTAACCTTTAATCTGAGGTTCAAAGGTTGTTGGTGATAAATAAGTCAGGCTGATATTATATATGAATTATTCCCGACTTCTAGTTCACTGAAACAAGTGCAGAAATTGTTGAAAAGTGCAGATTCAAAGCTTTCAGTCCATACCATGTTAATGTAAGCTGAAATTATATTATACTCCGATCAGGCGTTACATTCTGACCACCTCCTTGTTTCTACACTCATTGTCCATTTAATCAGCTCCACTTACTATATAGGTGCACTTTGTAGTTCTACAGTTACAGACTGTAGTCCATCTGTTTCTCTGATACTTTGTTAGCCCCCTTTTACCCTGTTCTTCAGTGGTCAGGACCCCCATGGACCCTCACAGAGCAGGTACTATTTGGATGGTGGATCATTCTCAGCACTGCAGTAACACTGACGTGGTGGTGGTGTGTTAGTGTGTGTTGCGCTGGTCTGAGTGGATCAGACACAGCAGTGCTGCTGGAGTTTTTAAACACCTCAGTGTCGCTGCTGGACTGAGAACCAACCAAAAATATCCAGCCAACAGCGTCCTGTGGGCAGCGTTCTGTGACCACTGATGAAGGACTAGAGGATGACCAACACAAACTGTGCAGCAGAAGATGAGCTATCGTCGCTGACTTTACATCTATAAGGTGGACCGACAAGGTAGGAGTGTCTAATAGAGTGGACAGTGAGTGGACACAGTGTTTAAAAACTCCAGCAGCACTGCTGTGTCTGATCCACTCTTATCAGCGCAACACACACTAACACACCACCACCACGTCAGTGTTACTGCAGTGCTGAGAATGATCCACCATCCAAACAGTACCTGCTCTGTGAGGGTCCATGGGGGTCCTGACCACTGAAGAACAGGGTAAAAGGGGGCTAACAAAGTATCAGAGAAACAGATGGACTACAGTCTGTAACTGTAGAACTACAAAGTGCACCTATATAGTAAGTGGAGCTGATAAAATGGACAATGAGCGTAGAAACAAGGAGGTAGTAAGTTTTTGTTGAGTGGACAGTATTTTAGTATCTTTTGCAGAAACAAAATCAAAGCACACAAAAAACTAACCAGAGAAACTAAGACTTTAATGTAACAACAGCCAAAAATGTGATACATTTTCAATTTTCTCTCAAAATTTTAAGATAAAAAAAATAGTGAATATGGACTGAAAAGCTGAAGTAGCTATTACACCTGATCAACCTCAAAATGTAATTATTCCCCAATAATATATTTATTTTAAAGGAGGTTATGTTAAAAATAATATTGTGATATTTTAATGTTATTTAAGTGGAGGCTGTGCATAAGCCTATTAGGGTTTTTTTTTGCCTCTCCCTGCATTGTATGTTATCTTTGTCTATTTGTGTGTATTTTACAATCACGTCATAGACACTAATGCACCCCCGTACCATCGGAGATGCAGGCTTTTGAACTTTGCGCTGATAACAAGCTCCTCTTAAGTCCGCAGGGCACGGCGTCTGGGGTTTCCAAAAAAGAATTTCAAATTTTGATTCAACTGACCACAGAACAGTTTTACATTGTGCTTCAGTCCATTTAAAATGAGCTTTGGCCCAGAGAAGACGGCGGCATTTCTGGATGGTGTTGGCATATGACTTCGTCTTTGCATGATACAGCTTTAACTTTTGTGGATTGCACAGCGAACTGTGTCCACAGACAGTGATTTCTGGAAGTGTTTCTGAGCTCATGCAGGGATTTCCATTACAGAATCATACTTGTTTTCAATGCAGTGCTGTCTGAGGGCCCAAAGATCATGAGCATCCAATATTGACCGTCGGCCTTGTGCCTTGCGTTCAGGGAATTCTCCAGATTCTCTAAATCTTTTGATGATATTATGTACTGTAAATGGGAGATCCAAAGTCTTCACAATTTTATGTTGAGGAACATTTTTTAAAAATTGTTCCACAATTTTTAGATGCAGTTTTTGGCAGATTGGTGAACCTCTGCCCATCTTTGCTTCTGAGAGACTCTGCCTCTCTAAAATGCTCTTTTTATACCCAGCCATGTGAGTTAGTTACACATTGCTACTCCAGCTGTTTTTTATTAGCACCACTTACTTTTCCAGCTTTTTGTTGCCCCTGTCCCAACTTTTTTGAGATGTGTTGCTGCCATCAAGTTCTAAATGAGTTAACGTTTTTCCAAATTAATATTGTTTGATGTTATCAGTTGTCAGACTTTTTAGCTACTTAACATTGATTTCGTAATGTTGACAAAATGTTCACATCGGTTGGGCCTTGATAGTATAGCTACATTCAGTAAATGTGTATGGATGGTATGCTATAAGCGGAGTCAGAGGGCCTCTGCTGTCGAGCCTTATCATGCTACCTCGACCGCACTGTGTTCTCACTGTCCGTCTTCGCTGCACTGCTGGTCTTCTCAATCCTTGGCAGAGCTCTGCCTTTTCTGCCATTTGGCCACTCCACATTGGAGTTCGCTAATCTGCAAGGGGACAATCCCACTTCTGACACCAGTGTGGCATCAGTAGAAGAAGATGTGGGAAATATAGGGCTTCAAACAAATGCTCTTTTATTAAACTTAGCAGCAGGGGACACAAACCCGTCTATAGTACCCTGTAGGAGGAGTCAGAGGGGGCGGGGCTTATTCACATTCATTCTTGCTTGCTGATGCTTGCTTTACTTCACTGAACTCAATATGAAGTGATTTATCGGTTTGTTTAGGTTCCCGGAGAAGTTGGGAGGCGGCGAATGAGCATGACTCCACCGCCTGAAGCAGCGGAGCTTTACTTTATCTCTGACTCCAAATGTCGCTGTCAGCCCTAAAACCTCTGCGACGCCTCCGGAGCTTTTGTTTCGGCTGCTGAGGCGAGTCTTCTGCTGAACACACAGCTTTTACTTCGGCTTTTCTTTTTTCCCCATTGACTGAAACATCGATATTCTCCGGCAGTAACAGCTATTGTTGCTGTGCAGCCGGTTCTCGGACAAATCGTGTTTCTGTGGAGGTGAAGACTAGAACAGAGAGCAGAGCGGAGAACAGCAGACGGCCTGAATAAATCACTGAGGGGAGAAAAAAACATTCAGAAATGTAGGAGAAATATCTCAGCAGGTCTCAGAGCAGGTGTGGAGGAGCTCCGCGCTGACGGAGAGGAGTCACATCAAAATAAACAAGCCTTTGATTTGAGTTGGATAGCTTTGTTTATGTTTTCTCTTTATAATATCATCCCTGTTAATAATCCTGTCACTTACTGTTCACCTTCTCTGTCACTCACTGAATCTCTCTCTCTCTCTCTCTCTTTCTCTTCCTCTTCTCCAGCTCTCTATTTTCCTCATTTGCTTCTCTCTCTCTTCTTTCTCTTTCCTTTTTTCTTCTCCATCTCTCTATTTTCTTCATTCGCTCCTCTCTCATTCTCTCTCTCTTGCTCTCTTTCACACTCATTTCTCTTTTCTTTCTCTCTCTCTTTGTCCTTTTCTATCTCTGTCGCTCTCTGAGTGACGGTCCTAGAGAATTAATCAAAACAACAATGATACAACTGAGACTGGGAGAGAGAGAAATCGAGAGAGAGAGAGAGTAAATGAGGGTGGGAAAGTGAGAGGGGGAGGGAGTAGAGAGAGAGAGGGGGGTTTGGGGGAGAGACAGAGTAGAAAGGCAGAGCGAGAGAGAAAGAGAGTAGGGAGGCAAAGAGAGAGAGAGACTGAGATAACAGGCTGTGCGAGACAGAGTGTGAGAGAGAGAGAGTGTGAGAGAGAGAGAGAGAGAGTGAGTAAGGGAGGGTGGGACAGAGAGGGGTTCAGGGGAGAGAGAGAGTAGAGAGGCAGAGCTGAAGAGAGAGAGGGGAGGAAAGAGGTAGAGAGGGACCAGATAACAGGCTGTGCGAGACAGAGCGAGTGAGAGAGAGAGAGAGAGGGGCAGATAGTGAATGAGGCTGCTGTGGATTCAGTGCGTTTCGGTGTAACAGACAGACAGACAGGCAGACAGGATGGACCACTGGAGCAGATGAAGACCGACACCGGGTGAGTGAGAGGGAGAGAGAGAGGGAGAGAGAGCATGATCTCCATCCACCTGTTAATGTCTCTGTGCATGTGTGTGTGTGAGCGTGTGCAGGTATGTATACACACACACCTGTTTATTTGTTCATCACTGAGCGTTTTCATTCTGTGTGTGTGTGTGTGTGTGTGTGTGTGTGTGTGTGTGTGTGCGTCGTCTCTTGGTCGTGTGTAAGCATGCACTTCTATTTGCATCCGGGTGCGCGCGTGTGTGTGTTGACATGTCATTGAGCGCACGCGTGTGTACGTATGTGTAATTCAGGCTGATGACGTGTTTGTGATGGCATGTTTCTCAGATAGTGTGTGTGTGTGTGTGTGTGTGTGTGTGTGTGTATGAATGAATGTGTATGTAAATGTGTATATATGTGTAAATATGTGTGTTTATGTGTACATATGTGGGTGTAGGTATGTGTATATAAACATATATATATGTGTGTGTAAATATATGTATGTGTGTATATTTGTATGTGTGTTTGTGTTCATGTGTAAGTGTGTGTGTGTGTGAATGTGTGTATTTCTAAGTGTATGAATGTATGTAAATGTGTGAATGTGTATATGTTTATGTGTATGTATGTGTATATTTTGTGTGTGTGTGTGTGCGTGTGTGTGTGTGTGTGTATATTTGTGTGTGTGAATGAGTGTGTTCATATGTGTGTTATGTGTAATTGTTGCTGTGGGATAAATAAGTAATTAATAATTAATAACAATTCTTGTCTCTGAAGCCACACTTAACTCTTAGTCTGGTCATTTAAACAGTAACAGTGATGTGAGATACAGAGCTGTGTAAATGTCAGAGACCCCCTTCATTTATTTAATCTCCAGACAAAACATTAAGTACAACTGATTGTTATATTAGATCAACACACATTAAATAAAACAGGTGTTTCCAAAAATGGGGCTCCTAACAACCACCTGGAAGACCACCTGGTCGACCCCAAAACTGCCCCCATCAGATAAACAGCACTTAAAGCTTTCATCTCTGAGAGAGAGGAGAAAATCAAGCTGCTTCAGATCTGAAAACATCCACAGGTGTTTCTGTCCATCCTTCCACTGTGAGAAGACGACTCAGCGCTGTGGGTCTGAAAGGATGTGTAGCTGATCAAGAAGAACCTCACTGAGAAAAGGAGACGGACACATCAAACAAAGAAGCTGGACGATGGACTGACCACCCCAGAGTCCAGACCTCAACACCACTGAATGTGTTTGATTACTTCAGAAAATGATCAACCAGCTTCTAAGACTGAACTTTGGAGGTGTGTCTGCAGATTCTTTGAGGAGCTGAAAGTGAGTCTCTTGAAAAGAATGGAAGCTGGAATAAAGGGACAGAGTGACTCACTCAACACTTCCTTAAATCAAACAGCTGAACTTTTCTAGATCACTGTACTGGTACCGGCACACTTCCGTCAAAGCATTCGCTTCGGTTTTTTATCCAGGATCAAATAGTCCAGCGGTACACTGATGCAATACACCATTAGAAAGCTTGAAATCTCAGGATTTGATTCCCACAAACCGTTTTATGATCCGTGATTCACAGCAGTTATGATCATCTCATTTGCATCATGAGCACCGAATGAGCAAACACCAGCAAATCTGTGTGTCCTCACCTTCAGAGTCTCTCCGCCTCCACAGAGACATCATAATCCAAAACATGTGGTCTGATAACGGCAAGAGTCAGAGATCAGTTTGGAGATCTGAGTCAGGAGGAAATAAACTCCTCCATTCTAGACTCTGTTACTCTGAGTCAGTAATTCATACAGTTATTCTGATGTTGAGATGTTTCCTTTCAAATGAGACCGAGATCATGACTGCAGCCCAGAGCCTGTGTGAACAGCGCCCCCTTTACTTTGGGTATGCAGTTTCAGGCAAATTGGGGCAACAGTTAACAGGTTAAACTAGAAAAGTGCATTTCCTGAAGAAAATGCAGAGTGATTGACCAGATTAAAGCGAGGTAAGATGTTGCTATCTAGTTGCTATGGTATCCCAGGTGGTTGCTAGGGTAATGCTTGGTGGTTACTATGGTATCCCAGGTGGTTTCTATGTGTTTTGCTATGTGATTGCTATCGTATCCCAGGTGGTTGCTAGGGTGTTTTGCTATGCAGTTGATATGGTATCTCAGGTGGCTGCTAGCGTGCTGCTAGGTGGTTGCTAGGATAACGCTAGGCAGTTGTTATGGTTTCACAAATCGTTGCTAAGGTGTTTTACTATGCGGTAGTTCTAGTATCCCAAGTGGTTGCTAGGAGGTTCTGCTGTGTGGCTGCTTAGGTATTGCAGGTGGTTGCTAGGAAGCTGCTAGGCAGTTGCTATAGTCTCCCAGGTGGTTGCTAGGGTGTTCTGCAATGGGGTTGCTATAGTATCCCAGGTGGTTGCTAGGGTGTTTTGCTATGTGGTTGCTATAGTATCCCAGGTAGTTGCTAGGGTTTTGCTAGGTGGTTGCTATAGCATTCCAGGTGGTTGCTAGAGTGTTTTGCTATGCAGTTGCTATGGTATGCCAGGTGGCTGCTAGAAGGTTGCTAGGTGGTTGCTGGTGGTTGCTATGCTATGCTGCATGGTTAATAGGATGGTACTAATGGATTTCTGCACCCTATTTATTCATATGGGAAAAAATTGCCATTAATCATTAAAAATGACTGAACGAAAACCGTACAGCCGATCATAAAGCGTATTCATTGATCAGATCGAACATTCCGGAGTTGGGATGGTGTTGATATCTTGAAAACTGCGGGATGCGCTAGAGGAAATAAAATAAGAAAAATAAGAAACAGGAGAAAGAAGAAGAATATACAATAAATAAGAACAGTGTTGTGTTTTGCTTTTCAATGAGCTAACAATAATATAATAACAATAATAATTAATAAATGAAAGGTTGTCTCTGACTTTTGCACAGTTGCTGCTGAAGTTTAAATAAATAAGAATTAATTGACTAAAAACTTGATCTTTTATATGTGTTTATATATGTGAGTGTGTTTGTATGAAGGTCAGTTGTTTGTTTATTGTTTGTTCATTAACTATAATTTGTGTTATTTTTGGTGGCGTGTCGTGCTTTAATGTGAATGCTATTATTAGCGCGTGATGTGATCTACTTCCTGAACCCGAACCGCTCGGCTCTGTCTGTCGGAGCGAGGGATGAGCGCGGAGATGAAAAGCAGACAGAGGGATGATGAGGCGTAAACAGACGAGTGGAGAACAGAGTGGAGATGAAGTGGCGTCTCTGAGGCATAAACACAC